TTAAACTAATGTTGTAAGTAAATTAAGCACCACCATTACCATATTACAGAATCCAGCTTTGACTATATATTTACCATTACCATTGAGTTTGACGCTACCTTCTTATGTTTTTATGATGTTAATTAGTGTCCTTTTATTCCTACTCAAAGAAATCCCTTTAGCACTTCTTGTAAGGCGCGTCTAGTGGTGATGAACTCCCTCAGCTCTTGTTTGTTTGGGAAAGTATTTATCTCTCCATTTCTGAAAAGCAGCTTTGCTGGGTATAGAATTCTTGGTTGACAGTTTTTTTATTTCAATAATTTTGAATATATCATCCCATTCTCTCCCAGACTGAAAACTTTCTGTTGAGAAATCTGTCCATAGTCTTATTGTTATTCCCGTGTATATAACTTATCTCTTTTCTTTTGCTGCTTTCAAAATTCTTTCTTTGTCTTTGACTTTTGACAATTTGATTATAACGTGTCTCAATGTAGCCCGACTTGGGTTCAATCCATTTGAGGTCCTTTGGGCCTCATGGATTTGAATGTCCCTTTATCTTCCTAAGTTTGGGAAGTTTTCCACCATGATTCCTTTGAATATACTTTCTATCTCTTTATCTTTCTGTTCTCCTGCTGGAATTCCCATAATTTAAATATTGTTTCTCTGATTGTGTCCCAACAGTCTCATAGGCTTTCTTCACTCTTTTTCATTCTTTTTTTTTTTGTATGTGAGGAAGACTAGCCCTGAGCTAACATCCATTGCCAATCCTTCTCTTTTTGCTGAGGAAGATTGGCCCTGGGCTAACATCCATCTTCCTCTACTTTGTATGGGATGCCACCACAGCATGGCTTGACAAGTGGTACATTGGTCTGCGCTTGGGATCCAAACCTACAAACCCTGGACTGCCGGAGTGGAATGTGCGAACTTAACTGCTATGCCCCCGGGGCTGCCCCTATTCATTTTTAGTTTACTCCTCTGACTGGATAATTTCAAATGTCCTCTCTTCTAGGTTACTGATTCTTCTGCATGGTCGAGTCTGCTTTTGAAACTCTCTGTTGAATTCTTCAGTTCAGTCATTGTACTTTTCAGTTCTAGGATTGGTATCGCTTCGTTTGTTTGTTTATGAAGGTTTCTATTTCTTTGTTGAACTTGTTTTGATCATGCATTGTTTTCCTAATTTCATTTACTTGTCTATGTCTTCTTATAGTTCACTCAACTTCTTCAAGAGGATTGTTCTGAATTCTTTGTGTCCATAGATTTCCATTTCTTTAGGGTCAGTTATTGCAGCTTTATTAGTTTCCTTTGGTGGTGTCATGTTTACCTGATTTTTCATGTTTCTTGATTACTAATGTTGATATTTACACATTTGAGTAAGTGGTGTCCTCTTTTTGACTTTACAGGTTTGCTTTGGCTGAGACAGTTGACCAGTTAGCTCAGTTTTGGTTTCTGGATGTGTCTGCTGGTAACATCCTTGGGCTGGTAGGGCTTACTATCAGGATCTATTTTGGGGCAAGGCCACTGCCTAAGCTCTGAGGTTAGGGGTTGCTGATGGCTGAGAACAGTTGGATAGCCCTGCTGTCTTGGTTCCCTGCCCAAATGAGGCTGTAGGATAGACTCTGTGGTTGCCTAGGTTCTCTGGTCAGGCTTCCTAGACAGTTGGGACTAGGTACCATACGCAGTAGTAGGTGGGGCTATGAATTAGCTTCTCTTCCCTGGTGAGCAGTAGAATGGCTCCAGAGCCCATATGGCTCATTCTTTGGGGACCTGAATCAAGCAATCCAGTGCCCTGAGTTCCCTGGTCAGACAGGGCCACTGGTTTTGCTCTGCAGACGGTGAAACTCATGGGCAGTGCTCTCTGCCTAGGTGCCACTATAAGCAGAACTATTGGATGGACTACACATGTGTTTCCCATGTGCTCTTGTTAGGTACCTGATTGGACAGGCTGAAGGCTGTATTCAGCAATGGGCGGGGCTATGAATTAGTTTCCCTGCCCCAGCAGAGCAGGAGAACTGGCTTGGCTCTTTGTTTGTGGTTTTGACTCAAGCTGACCTGCACCCCAAGTTGTCAGCTGAACGGTGCTACTGGCTTTGCTCTGTGGATGATCAGCTCTGCCTGCTGTATTCTCTGCTCAAGGATTGCTGGGCTATGCAGCTTCCAGGTGTTCCTGCCAGGCTTTCTGGTCGGGTGGGGCTGAAAGACACACTCAGCAGTGGACAAGACTATGACTTAGCTCCCCTGCTTGAGCGGGAGTTGAGGAGAGGCAGATAAGGCGTTGGAGATGACAAGGCTCTTCATTTGAGGACCCAAATCAGGCAGACCTGTGCCCTGCTGAGTTCCCTGTTCAGATTGTGTCACTGTCTTGGCTTTGCAGATAAGAAAGCCTCTGGTTGGGATCACTACTTAGGTGCTGCAGGTAGGAACTTGGTCTGCCAAGATTCTAGTGCTGGTTGTTGCAAGCCCTCCCCCGTTCCTCATCACAATCAGATTCCCGGTGGTCAATACCTGCAGATTCCCTCGTGATCCCTGTAAGATGAGACTGAATTGGGGGCTCCCAAGACGTGACCCATGATGCTGGGGGAGTTGGATATCCATCTTGAGCTCTCTTTTCCTGCTGGAGGAACTGCAGGCTCGGGGAGACCTCTGGGTGTAGGCTGCTCCAGGCAAGCAGTCAGCGTGTAGCCCCTTATCTTCTAATGTGGTCTGTCTCAGTCTCTGTGGTGCAAGGGGATGCTTCAGTCTCACCTCCTTGTTCCAAGATTTTCTCACTGGTGTCTCATCCATGAACAGTTGTTAGTCGTTCTTGCCGGGGAGAGCGAAGCTGGAACAACTTCTGTTGCCATCTTGGTGATGTCACTTCTTAAAATCTTATTTTCTTTGAATCTATGTTTGAGTCTTATAATCTTCATTGGTCAAGAGCAATAAAATTCTGCTTTTAATTTTTTAAAGTTAAATTGAGAAAGGTTTGCTTCAGAGTAAGTGGGTCGTTTTGGCTGATCAGCTATTATTAACATTGGCAATTCATAGTCGATTTTTAGTTTTCCTGATAGCTGAGGGGATTTAATAAAAACAATTTTCTTATGGATCAGTTACCATCTTATAAGAAAAGTGAAACTATTTTTACCCTCCATTTTTCTGGACTTCTTTTATTTGTAAAAAAGAAGCTTCACTCAATCTCTCCACCGTATATAGATCATCACAAGTTAAGAACCATATTATTTGACTCTATTCTTGGATCATAAGCTCCTTAAAGGGAGGCTCTTTTTATCCTCAGCACTTAGAATGTTGCTGATACATGATAGACACTCAATAAATATTTAAAGGAGCAAATTATTAGTCTTAAAGTTTCTAAATTATATGTCAGTCCTATATTTTAAAACCCATTCTCCAAGGTGCTTCTCTTAAGACATATAGCTATATATTATGAATTTTACTGTAATTTAGATTAATTAGTGGATCTACTCTTGTGAGTAATAAAACCTGTATAGGATTTAGACCCTATATTGTTTTATTTTATTTTCTTATTCTTCAAATTAAATTCAGATTTGAAGAGATGATATTTGAAGAGATTTATAATTTATAATTTTTTGAAGGATTATAAAATGACTTTAAAATGGATTATTTAATATGCTGTAACTTCTCTTAAAATATTATTGCTTCTGTTTCTTTCACTTTTTTCTTTTGTATTTTGCATGCTTCTGTTATAAATGTGTTCTCATTGTCTTAATCTTGACATTTCTTTTTCCTGTGATAATCGCTCCTGAGCGCATCCCTTTGTGGCATTTCTGGTTGTGACTTCTCGTGTTTTTTGAAGTCTGAGGTACTCAGTTGAGATTGGAAGCCAAAAAAGAGGATAAGTCCATTTCATGCCCACACTCCCTTTTGCTCAAATATCCAAGTTTCTTTCTATTTAGATTTAGAATTAATTTCTTTTGAATATTCCTCCTTTGCCCAACGATTGAAAAATATCCACATTTCAGCTAGTTATTTTCTGGAAACATAAAAAATATCTCTTCCTTAGCTTTATCTTCTAGGGTTTACTCATTTATTGCCACTCTTCTTCTAAGAAGACTACTGCGTTAAAATTCTTTGTTCAAAAAACATCATCACAAGAATTCTTCGTAGAGATTTTAAAAAGCACTGAGGAGATAGAATTGTCATGAACAGGAATTCTGCTCCCTATATATTTTCGACTCTTTTGTGGAACCACTTATTTATGTATCAGAAACACAAGCACATCCAACAGAACAAAGAATGCTTTCTGTTAGGCTTGGAATTCATTGGTGTGTTAATCCTGGGGAGCCCTATGAGAGAAATGTGCAGAACCGAAATATAAAGGCAGATTCAGTGCCCAGGGGGAAAAAAGGAGTTATCTGGACCGTGATTTACCTATCTTCATTTTCAGAGTTCAACTCCTAAAAACGTCTAGTGTGGTGGAGAGAATGAATGAGAACAAATTAACTTTCCTTTTCCAGCAGGGGGATGTGGGAGATGCTCAGGAGTGAATCAATCACTCTGCTCCACTGTACTGACAGCATTCATCGGCGTGAGCAACTTCTGTGTGGGCAACACCAGGGAAATTTACTTCTCAGACAAGTGTACTGCTTACATTCAGGGTGTCTCATCTTTCTGGCAATCAGGATAAATTGTATCTCCGCAATAACATTGTAGCAAGCTATTCTTTACCGCTAGGGGCTGGTAATGACTGTGTCTTACATTTGCATTAATTCTGAGAAGATTTACTGGTGGCTTGCTGATCTGTAAATTTCAAAATGGCAAACAGCAGCAAAGGTCAACACAGCAATAATATTAATAGTTTTAGAAAAAGGCTGAGAGACTCAGAGATTCCAGATGATAGCCTGAGTGGGAGGCAAATTCAGTGAATGTTTTTGTCATCTATTACTTCACTTTTTCTTTTATAAGGTAATCATAGTACCCTAGCAAAGGAAGCACGAGGTCACAAAGATCAATAATATGGAATGAACAGGCACACTTTAATTGCCGTTTGGTTTCTTGTGCTTCACAGATGTTGTGTTTTTCACAAATTGAAGGTCTGTGGCAACCCTGCGTCAAGCAAGTCTATTGGCACCATTTTTCCAACAGCATTTGCTCACTTCGTGTCTCTGTGTCACATTTTGGTAATTCTTGCAATATTTTAAACTTTTTCATTATTATATTTGTTATGGTGATCTGTGATCAGTGATTTTTGCTGTTACTGTTGTAATTGTTTTGAGGCGCCATGAACCATGCCCATATGAGATGGCAAACTTAATAGACAGATGTTGTGTGTGTTCTGACTGCTCCACTGACCAGCTGTTCCCCTATCTCTCTCCCTCTCCTCAGGCCTTCCCTGAGACACAAAAATATTGAAATTAGACCAGTTAATAACCCTACAATGGCCTCTAAGTGTTCACGTGAAAGGAAGAGTCACACATCCCTCACTTTAAATCAAAAGCTAGAAATGATTAAGCTTAGTGAGGACGGCACGTTGAAAGCTGAGATGGGCTGAAAGCTAGGCCTCTTGTGCCAAACAGTTAGCCAAGTTGTGAATGCAAAGCAAAAGTTTTTGAAGGAAATTAAAAGTTCTACTCCAGTGAACACACGAATGATAAGAAAGTGAGACAGACAGCCTTATTGCTGATACGGAGAAAGTTTTAGTTGTCTGGGTAGAAGACCAAACCAGCTACAATATTCCCTTAAGCCAAAGCCTAATCCAGAGCAAGGCCTTAACTCTCTTCAATTCTGTGAAGGCTGTGAGAGGTGAGGAAGCTGCAGGAAAAGAGTTTGGAGCTAGCAGAGGTTGTTTCATGGGGTTTAAGGAAAGAAGCCATCTCCATAACATAAAAGTGCAAGGGGAAGCAGCAAGTGCTGATGTAGAAGCTGCAGCAAGTTATGCAGAAGATCCAGCTGAGGTAATCAATGAAGGCGGCTACACCAAACAACAGATTTTCCATGGAGCCAAAACAGCCTTATATTGGAAAAAGATGCTATCTAGGACTTTCATAGCTAGAGAGAAGAAATCACTGGCTGGCTTCAAAGCTTCAAGTAACAGGCTGATTCTCTTGTTAGGGGCTAATGCAGCTGGTGACTTTAAGTGGAAGCCAATGCTCATTTAACATCCCCCAAATCCTAGGGCCCTTAAGAGTTATGCCAACTCTACTGTGACCTATAAATGGAACAACAAAGCCTGGATGACAGAACATCTATTTACAACATGGTTTACTAAATACTTTAAGCCCACTGTTGATATCTACTGCTCAGAAAAAAAGATTCCTTTCAAAATATTATTGCTCATTGACAACCTACATGGTCACCCAAGAGCTCTGATGGAGATGTACAACAAGATTAGTATTGTTTTCATGCCTGCTAACACAACATCCATTCTGCAGCCCATGGATCAAGGAGTAATTTTGACTTTCAAGACTTATTATTTAAGAAATACATTTTGTAAGGCTGTAGCTGTAGTAGATAGTAATTTCTCTGATGGGCGTGGGCAAAGTAACAATTCTGTAAAGGATTCACCATTCTTTTTCTTTATTTTTTGGTGAGGAAGATTGGCCCTGAGGTAACATCTGTGCCAATCTTCCTCTATTTTGTACGCGGGGCGCTGCCACAGCATGGCTTTGATGAATGGTGTGTAGGTGCACACCTGGGATCCAAACCCACAAACCCTGGGCCACCGAAGTGGAGCATGGGAACATACCTATTACGCCACTGGGCTGGCCCCAGGATTTACCATTCTTGATGCCATTAAGAACATTCATGATTCATGGGAAGAGATCAAAATATCAACATTAACAAGAGTTTAGAAGAAGTTGACTCCAACCCAAATGGATGACTTTGAGGGGTTCTAGACGTCAGTGGAGGAAGTAACTGCAGATGTGGTGGAAATAGCAAGAGAACTAGAATTAGAACTGGAGCCTAAAGATGTGACTGAATTGCTGCAATCTCATGATGAAACTTTAACGATAAGGACTTCCTTCTTATGGATGAGCAAAGAAAGTGGTTTCTTGAGATGGAAACTCCTCCTGGTGAAGATGCTGTGAAGATTGTTAAAATAACAACAAAGGATTTAGAATATCACATAAACTTAGTTGATAAAATAGTGGCAAGTTTTGAGAAGATTGACTCCAATTTTGAGAGAAGTTCTACTGTGGGTAAAATGTTATCAAACAACATTGCATTCTACAGAGAGATAGTTCATGAAAGGAAGTGTCAATTGATGTGGCAAACTTCACTGTTGTCTTACTCTAAGAAATTGCCATAGCCCCCCCAGCCTTCAGCAACCACCACCCTGTTCAGTCAGCAGCCATCAACATCAAGGCAAGACCCTCCACCAGCAAAAAGCTTGTGACTCACTGAAGGCTCAGATGATGGTTAGCATTTTTTAGCAATAAAGTATTTTTTAATTAAGGTACATACATTGCTTTTTAGACATAAGACTATTACACACTTAATAGACTATAGTATAGTGTAAACATAACTTTTACATGCACTGGCAAACCAAAAAATTCTTATGACTCACTTTATTGTAACATTCGCTTTACTGCGCTTTGGTCCGGAACCAAACCCAAAATATCTCCAAAGTATGCCCGTACGCGGTGCAGATCTGAGCCCAACCTACAGAGGATGGACAGGCCCAGTGGAATCTGTAGGTTGAAGCAGAGTCACTCAGCCCGGGTCAGCTGTCTTCCTGACGCGTGACCCGCAGTCATGTGCGTGAAAATAAATTGTGGCTGTTTTAAGGTGCAATTTTGCCCTTCCGGGGACATTGGTGATGTCTGGAAACATTTTTGGTTGTCACAAGTCCAGAGATGCTATTGGCATCTAGTGGGTAGAAGCCAGAGATGCTGATAAACATCATATAATGCATAGGACAGTCCCCGACTACAAAGAATTATCTGGCCCCAAAATGTCAACAGTGCTGCTGTAAACAAATCCTATTTTAAGTAATAGCTAATTGATACACCCACCATCTTCCCTCTTCTATCAGATGCTCCCTGGCCTCCACAAAAGAAGAGTCAAAATTGGTCAGAGTGCAGAATCACCCTTGGACCAACGTTTACCAGTGAGCAGAATTTTATGCCTTCAGGGCGTGACTCTATTCTATGTGCTGCCTTGTGTTTTTTGTCACATTACTAAATAAATCTAGGCAGGACCTATGCCCTTTGGGGTAAATTTAACCATTTCCCTCTCTTTTTCTTTCTCTAGGATCTCTTCTGAATTTCTTGCTCACTCATGTTCTCTCTTTTTAGATGATCCTGAACTTGCCTCCAGGCCCCATGATATAGGTTAGTTTTGATTAAGCATGAGGGCTTTCTGCTACTTGCTCAGCTATAAATACAATGGTACTTTGACTTCCATTCTACTGTTTTGCTTAGTGCATAGGGCTCCCCCAGGAACCCACAGGGAAGAAAGTGTTTGACATGACAGGATGCAGACATTTCTTGGTCCCAAGTGGTAATACCATCAAGTAGCACTGAAACCTGTCTCTGAGAGTCTCACAGCTGTTAAATTGTCTGGTAAAAATGTTAAATTCTATAGAATTTCAAAGAAGGAGGTATGAAAATCACTGGGAAAGACTTGACAGAGAAAATAGGAAACATTCAACAACCATTTGTTGAGACAATTTCAAATAAGTACACTTGGCTTTTAAGCATTCAACACCCTTCAAAATGTAGCCTCAACTTTTTTTATGCCCTCGTCTTGTCTACCCTAGTCTCTTTTTTGTACTCCATGCAGTGACCAGACCAGATGACTCACTGCTCTCCAAAGGAGCTTGTGGCTTCACACTTTGTGATGGTGTATGTTCTCTTCCTTCTGCATCTAACTCATTGCCTTGTGTTTATAGACCCCTTCACACTTCTGTGTTTACAACCAATCTCTAAGGCCACCTTTTTGATCTTATCTAACTGTGTTATTTTTTCTTCCTTTGTACTTCTTAAAATTGTGTTCATGTATTTCTCAGTGTTTCCAAATTCCTGGAAGATATTAATCCTTGAAATTCAGGAATAAGAAATGGGAATTCCTAGGCATTCTTGGGAATTCCTGAAGTCATAAGTTATTCTTAAGATACTTCATACTTTTTATAATATTATGGATTTCTTAAAAAGTTGTGCAGTAAATAGGAAATATTAATTTAGGAGTGTTTATAAGGAGAATAGCTATAGTAAATATTTGAGCAGTGAAAAACACCAGCCAACATTATTGGGTAGTGTTCAAATAGTGTGGCATGTGGATCTCCTATCAATATTAACAGCACTGCAGAGACTCACCTGTCAAAATTGCCAATTTAAGGACTTAGTTTTCTTCCATTACCTGTTATTTCTTGGAACTTCACTCATAGGATTTGTTTACGGTATACTATACATATAAACATATTAATATTTATTTTATTTGAATGAATGACTGACCATTAGCGGTAGACAGGGCCACGTTATAACAAGGCAACGGCTACAAGCAAGACCTACTGAGCAGATCATAATCACTTCTCTCCTACTTGATCCTGCCCTGGTTCCTGGAGATGTAGACTTGAACCTTCAACCCTGTGTGCGGTATTTTCTGTCTTGCTATCACCTTGACGCCAGTGATTCCCTCTCACCAGTATACCTCTATGTTAATTGTTGAACTTTAATTTTCACAGGAGGATTATAACACTTTTTCCATTTTTGTGATTTCTTGACTGATTTTTATTGGGATTTGGGGTTTGGCAAAACATAAGTTTCCCGAGAAATATCAGAAAGGAATTCCAGCATGGAAATACTAGAGTCTCTCAATTTACATATCCCGTCTCTTATATGCATATTCAGGCTTCTACATGACACAAGTATGCTGCAGGTTTTGTGAAGAGGAGAAATATGCTAAATCTAGGCCTTTACCAAGATTAATATGAGAACTGAGAAATGTCAAGCTGCAGGTGGCAGGGAACAGGACGGGCATAAACGGATTTAGACAGAGGTAAATTATAGAATGCTAACGCAGTAACCCAGGTAGGAAGAAACCTGGCCTAAAACGGGAGAAGTCGAAACAGGGAAGCGACTTGATAAGGACCACAGAGCAGAGGGGATGGTCTAAGACCTGAAATATTAAGCTTGGGGACTAACAG